AACATAAGCAGTACACTCTCTAATATCGGACTTAGAAGCATATTTTCAAGTACCATGACTGACCAGGCAAAGGAAACAAGAGAAAAAATAAACAAGTGGGACTACATCAAACTAAAAAGCTTCTGCACAGCAAAGGAAGCCATCAACAAAACGAACAGAACAGACAACCTAACAATTGGGAGAAGATATTTGCAATCCATATATCTCATAAAGGGTTAATGTGCAAAATACATAAAGAGCTCATACATCAGCCATAAAAAACGATGAAATCTGGCCATTTGTGACAACATGGATGGACCTTGAGGGTATTATGCCAAGCAAAATAAATCAGAGGGAGAAAGTCAAATACCGTATGATCTCACTCATAAATAGAAGATAAAAACAACAATCTATCTGGTAAGGAGTTAATATCCAGAATATATACAGAATGATTACCAAAAACAAAAAAAAACCAAATGAATTAATCCCCCATCTCCTCCAGGTGTCCCCTTTCTGAATAGATACTCCTTTGTGTGCTCCTGTGGCACTATACCCTGTGACATCACAGCTTGCATGACATTACATACCCACACTGCCAAGTGATTGGTTATTTACATGTCTGTCTCTCCCATTAGATTTCAAATTCCTTGAAAACAGAGACTGTCTCTTTGAATGCTTAGCAACGAAAGAAAAGCTTCCTGTCATATAATAGACACTCAACACATTTTTTGTTGAATGAACGAATCATCCTTGCAACCTCTCTCCCTTTCATGCTCCATAGTCTACCCATCATCAAGTCCTACCCACCATCAACATATTTCTCAAATTTTTCAAGTTTTCTCCATCTTCACTACCACCACTCTGCTTCAAGCCACCATCCTTTATGACCCAGGCCACTGTAACAGCCTCCTAATTGTATTATTACTTTCTTCCACTTGTGCTCCTCCAATCTATTCCCCATACAATAGCCAGAGTGGTTTTTCTAAAATGCAGATCTTATCATGTCACTCCCTAGCAAGACACTCTTCAGTGGTACCCCATTATTCTTAGAATAAAGTCCAATGCACTTAACTTGATCTACAAGGCCCAAACTTCTCTAGTCTCAATTCTCTTATCTTCTTTTCATGTCTCCAACTTGCTGTTCTCCCTCCTACCACAGGGCTTTTGCACATGTCTCCTCCACCTAGGACATTCTTTTCATAATTCACTCCTACTCATCTTTCAGAACTCAGTTACAGCATTGTTTCCACAGGAAAACATCCCCTGATCCCCCTGATGGCAAACCTGGTATTCTTGGCTCTCCTAGCACCTTTATAACATCTATCACTGCTTGCTTTTATTTAATGTCTGTTCCCCACCCCCACCTCAGTTATCTCTACCACTGAAATCCCAATGGCATATAAGAAGCCCTCAATAAATATTTAAGAATGACTTACTGGTGATGCAACACAAAATTGAAAGAGCCAGTCCACTGGGGAAATGCACTGTGCTTTCCCCAATGCCAGAGAACCCTGTAGCCACACACACCTCTCCAGAGAAATTTCCCACAGGTAGGCTGCCCTTGTTCACATGTGATGCTGAAACTAGGGCAGGCAGGGGATATGCTGGGCAAAGGGAGACTGGAGCATCTACTAAGCAAAGGTTTTGTGGTTCCTGTGAAAGACGACATGAGTGGAGCCATATTAAAATAGAGCCAGAAGAGCCATTTCAGAGGAATTGCCTTGCACATCTTTTCTTTATCTTCCAAATTGGAATAAAACGCCAAGATTCCAAGAAGTCAGTAAGGACAGGAATACCCTGTTTATAAGGACTGATGAAACTGGACTTTGCTGGTGACTGGATTGCTAACCAATCAATGAAGTACAAGTCTAGCCTTTTTCTTGATGATCGAATCTCAAACCAATTTATGAAGTACAAACCTAGCCTTACCTTATCCAGCACTAATGAATTCTTCTTTAATACAACTCACCTCATCCTCGCTTTCTCCCATAGAAACCCTAAGCCCATCTCCTGTATTTGGATTTCTACCTGAATCTGTGCTCCCCGAATTGCAATTCTTTGATCTCAAATAAACACTTTGCCTTCTAAACTGGTTTCTGTTTTTGTACATTGACATCCCCCTGCTTTAGGGACCTAGGTGTCAGAACTCTGAGACGAGTCAGTGTCTTGAACAGTATGTACTGGTCCATTAGTCACGTATCCACAGAGAATGGTTTTAAAGGAAAACTCTTCAGAAAGGTGAATGCTATGTTATGTAGCAGCCCTGATTAACATTTACTTCCCAAGTAGCATTCATTATGATGATTAATTTTTTAACCAAATAAACACATCAACTACCATAGAATAGCTTTATCATTAAAGGGAAACATACTTTTCTCATAAGCCAGAGAAAGGGCAAAACTCCCAACCATATCATATCAGATAGTTTCTACAGTCTTTCCATTTTCAACAGCATCTATTCCAAACCTTCCCCGCTGTCCTCAAACCTCTGTTCCTCCCCTTCTCAAAGGATGGCTTCCCCTCTTCATTCACTAGGAAAATAGAAGCCATCAGATAGACATTTTTCAAATTTCTGCCCTCAACTCCTTATTTCCATCCCCACTCGCATCTTGAATGCCTCTGTATCAGATTCTGACTTTTTTTTTTAAGATTTTATTTTTTTCCTTTTTCTCCCCAAAGCCCCCCAGTACATAGTTGTATATTCTTCATTGTGGGTCCTTCTAGTTGTGGCATGTGGGATGCTGCCTCAGCATGGCTTGATGAGCAGTGCCATGTCCGCACCCAGGATTCGAACCAATGAAACACTGGGCCGCCAGCAGCTGAGCGCGCAAACCTAACCACCCGGCCACGGGGCCAGCCCCAGATTCTGACTTTTTGATCTGCACTTCTATCCACTGGGACGAGTGATGTTCTGACTATCACATTCTCCTGTCCCCTAAGGAGCCTGGCTCTTTCATTTATTCCCACTCTTTTCTGCGTCTTCAATATCTTCCCCCATACTAGCTCTTTCCTATCAACTTTTAATTGAGCTAGTCTTTTTCCATCTTACAAAATGTCCTACCTAGGTCCACCATACCCCTCCAGCAAGCACCCTATTTTTCCCCTTTGCAGTCAAACTTGAAAGAATTGTCTACACCAGCTGACTTCACTTCCTCAGTTCTCAATAACTCTTCAACCCATTGAAATCTGACCTCTGTCTCTACTTTTCCACGGAAACAGTGCTCTTGCCTAGATCATTAATGACCTTTTCGTTATTAAATACATTTTAACTTCTCTTCATTCCTTATCTGTCTCAGACATTTAGCAGTATTTGTCACTGTTGACTACTCCCTGTGCTTTGAAAAACTCTCTTCCCATGGTTTCCAGGACCTCACATTTTCCTGGTTTTCCTTCCTACCTCTCTGGCACTTCTTGATTTTCTTTGCTAGATCAGCTTCCTTTATTCAGTTTCTAAATGTTGGGGTTCCTAGGGATTTGGCCCTGGGCACTTTTCCCTCTCTACTCTCTCTCCTTGGGTGGATGATATCCATTCTCATGGGCTTCAATTAGCTTCCAGGTGGGGTTTCTGACTTTGGTACATGAATCAAATTCAGACAATTTGCAAACTTGAATGGATAAAAACAGATTTTTATTTTCAGTAATCTCTAATAAAAATTTATTATTTGTCCCAATTATGAATGCAGACAAAAAGCCACAGTAGTATAACCAGTGTCTGTGGCTTTGTCATTATTAGAAATCATATATGTTTTCATAATACTACAGTTCTTTCAGATACCTCAAAATATTGTTTATGCTTATTATTTCAGTTTATAGCAGTTAGTAGATTCACTGCTAGATCTCTTTAATTAATCAATAATTACATATATTACGAGATCACCATTTTTGTATTTGATAACTCTATTTCAGTATATTTTGTTTCTTTTGTAATGCTATGCATTTCATTTTGTATATTTAAAAATATTATTCTGAGATGAGGTCCAGACTGACCAGACTGCCAATGGCACAAAAAGTGTTAAGAAGCCCTGTTCTAGATGCTGATGACTCCCAGCCTGAATCCATCTTCTGGACTCCAAATCCATATACTTAATTGGCTTCTGGATATGTATACTTGGATATCTCATGAGAACCTTAAGCTCAACATGACCCACATTGAACTCATCAACTTCTACTACCCCCATTCTCAAAGCTGCAACTTCTCCTGTGTCCTCTGTCTCCATGAACAGGACCAATAGCCACTCAGTTGTCCAAACCAGAATTCTGAGCTACCATTGACTTTTCCCTTTCCTTCACTCTAAGAAACAATCAAGAATCATGTCAATTCAACCTCTTTAATATTTCTTAAAATTCATCCATTTATCTCCATCCTCAATACCTCAATTTCAGTAACCATCTTCTCTCTTCTCTCTAAGTGATCTCCTCACCAACAGACTTAGCTCCCTTCTAATCCATTCTTTCCAATCATTGTTAGAATGATGGTTCTCTTCTCAAACACTGTGCTTAGTGTTAATATAGCCCACTTCACACTATCTTGTAATTACTTGTATTTCCTACATGAAAATAAGTTACAGGAGTGCAGGGATTTTTATCTTGGTTATTTTGGGATCTACAGCATTAAGCATGATGTCTGGCATATAGGAATACTCCATAAATGTTTGTTGAATAAATGAATGATTGGACTGAACTTCAGCCTGATAGTCAGAGGTAGCTCAATAAAAAAAGTGAGTGGGGGGGCCAGCCCGGTGGCTCAGCAGTTAAGTGCACACGTTCCGCTTTGGTGGCCCCGGGTTCACCAGTTCAGATCTCGGGTGCGGACATGGCACTGCTTGGCAAGCCATGCTGTGGTAGGTATCCCACATATAAAGTAGAGGAAGGTGGGCACCGATCTTAGCTCAGGGCCAGTCTTCCTCAGCAAAAAGAGGAGGATTGGCAGCAGATGTTAGCTCAGGGCTAATCTTCCTAAAAAAAAAAAAAAAGATTGAGGGACTATTCAAAATCTTAATTTTATTTAAAAAAATTCCTACATATTTATACCCCACAATGATTTAATCCCTACAACATTTAAGAACTACCAGAAGGTTGCAAAGTGCCTCCTTACTATTTAATAAAGAGAATACTTGTTCCGTATCTAGAGCTATCCCATTTTCCCTATCTTCTCTAAATACTTCTCTCTGTGCTTAATAATGCTGCAGTCTTCTTGATTTAAATTTGATAGCATATTTGATGTGAAGGAGAAATAAATGATTAAAGTCATTTGGTAATATTTGTACAATGAAGCTCATGCATCCCCATGGTGACACTATGTTGTCAGAATATGATGCAAATGGTGATGTCATAAACCCCTAGAACAGACTGAACCACATGAAATACAGTAGTTTCCTTGGCAGAAGAAACATTTGAATGAAGCTCTGGACATGAATCTTTTTATTTTTGTCTTACTGTTGTCCATTTGGACAAATAGTTGTTTAAATACAAACCAAAGTGATGGATCTTCTACGACAGGTATGTGCCTAACCTTAAGACTCAGAAATTATGATCTATTACATTATGCATTCAAGCACTTAATTAAACAAGCTAGTTGTATTTAAGATATCTGTTTCTTGGATGTTACCATTAGTAGGTCTTCAAGAATTTCTAGGACAACATCTGAGAGTTTTACTTGTGTGAAAAATCCAAGCAACATAGAAGCATAACAAGTGCAGACATATTGTCCCCCTTCTTTCCCCTTCCTCATCCAATCCACCAACCCCCACACCCAACCAAACTAGATAATACTATGTGAACAAATCTGGCATGATACTCAAAACATAGTAGGTTTCAACGAAGGATTTTTCTTGTCCTATCCCCTTTTCTACTATACACATTCACACACACACATTAACACTCAAGTGCATTCACACACACAAGACATCCACACACTTAAAAACCTAGGTAATGGGGTGAGCAAGCCACGATGCAGTGGTAACCCAGGGAATTATACTGATTAGCCAGAGATGCCTCCGAGATTTGGCTTCTAGATTGTGGCTGGGGACATGACAGAGGGAAGAAAATGACAGCAGAACACTCATCATGCTTAAACAGAATCACTGAGGAAGAGACTTGATTTTGACCTATAGTGGCAAACCACTATCAAAATGTAAGAAAATTCGGTTACCTAACATATTTTCTGGTGATACAATCTCTTTGACAGGAGCTAAGCACCCTGAATCAACGGAGACCAAAATGGACAACTTTAGGAAACATCTACTCATTATCACAATTAGTGTTATGATCATAACTTATGCCTTTACCTGTATTTGTTTTATCTATTACTATTTTACGAACGACAATGCCCCTAAAGCAGGAAGGTAAGTTTTACACCTTTGAATTAAGAATGCGAGGTGTGTATACATGTGTGTGTGTGTACATACAGTGGAGGTTTCAATGCTGTTGTAGTTACTTAATGTTAACTTTAGACTGCTAAAGAGCTACTAACAATTGTCAGTGGATACCTTCACTTAAATGATATCAGCTCTTAAATATTCTCAAGTATCAACTTTAGCCAAAGCTGTCTCTTATTCAGGGTTCAGCTGAGCCCTAGGCTATTAATTTCATATAAATCGAGTCTAGGGAAAGAGAGCATGACTATCTGAATAAGATTGCGAGAATGAAGAAGGGGAGAGAGAAAGAGTTGGGTCCCTGCATTCCAGAGACAATGAAACATTTTGGATATGTACCATTTTAAGGTGTAATATCATGAAAAATTATTCACTGTCGTTGTTTTCATGATCTCAGTCCCTGTCTTTCATACAGCAGGATCAGGCTGGTCCTGATATAGTGGTTCCCAAAAATTTCCTAATCCAAGGACTGGTGACCAAAATATACCAGTGCTCCAGTCCTTTAGTTTTAGAGGGATATTGTGAATATAAATATGCGTGGATAGATAACTTAATGGTGTAAATATGATAGGAAAATAATGACTGTGTCTAAAAAGTTTATTTTCTCTTGTGACAAGTTGTGATATTTATGTATCAGTTGTATAACAACTTGTGACTTTTTAATAAAAACTTTAACTTCTGGGGGCTGGCCCAGTGGCATAGTGGTTGAGTTTGCACACTCCACTTCGGTGGCTCAGGGTTCGCCGGTTCAGATCGCGGGTGCAGACCCACGCACCGCTTATCAAGCCATGCTGTGGCATGTGTCCCACATATAAAATAGAGGAAGATGGGCACAGATGTTAGCTCAGGGCCAGTCTTCCTCAGCAAAAAAGAGGAGGATTGGTGACGGATGTTAGCTCAGGGCTAATCTTCCTCAAAAAAACCCAAAAAAGTTTAATTTCTGGAATAAATGAAATTCTCTCTTCCTCTCTCTCAACAGTAAATTTGAAATCACTTTGTGTCATTTCACATGTAGACTATATGGCTATCTAATGTAGTTGAAACAGTAAAATACTCTTAAGAAAAAGCATTCAATATAAGTTCATACCTGTATCCTGAGTCATGGCTTTTACCACACTCCAATGCCTACTGTGTTCAATTTTCCTACTACAGCCAAAAAAAGACCAAAAGTCTAAACTGACACAGTAGCCTGTGTTTTCTGGTGATAGCAACAGTACTCTTTTACCTCAAATTTTCATACTTCAAATTTTCTATGTTTTCAGGGTCAAGAAAAAAGGTGTAGCAGCCAAGTCATCTAGGTCATCCAAATTATCATTCCGTGAATCCAAGACAGCCAGTCCATGCAGCGCAGAAAAACAACCCATGCTACCCAGTACAGAAAACTTATCTGGGCCCTCAAGTCTAAAAAAGTCATCCATGCTATCCAGTGCAGAAAAGCCAATCAGGACCTCGAGTCCAGAAAGGTCATCCATGTCATCTAGTGCAGAAACGTTAATCAGGCCATCAAGTCGACGAAAGTCATCTAAGTCATCAAGTACAGGACACATATTCAGGCCACCTCCCCTGAAAAAGTCATGTAGAACATGCCATCCAGAAAAGTCACATAAGCTAGCTCACGCCCATAAGCTAGTCAGTCAAGTCGGTTCATCCTATCCAAATAAGGCAGTCAGGCCACCTTTTCCAGCCAGTCTACAATGCACAGTCAGGCCAGCCAAGCCACCTTGTCTATCCCATCCACAAAATGAAATCTTGCCACCCAAGCCATTTGGTTTACAGAAAGTGACCAAGTGTCCCAGATATCCTAATCTAAAAAGGTCAGGTAGTACAGGTAGAGCAGACATATTATCTAGGCCTCAACTAGTCAAGCCTTTTCAATGGTATAAGGAAAAACGCCTTGTTTGTGGAACTTTTTCTGAGCCTTTGGTCAATGATATTTCTGAGGCAAAGGAGAAAATTGCTCAAAATACACCTTTTCCAAGAGAAGTGAAGCCTTTTTCCAAGTCCTTTCATAAGGTAGATTCCAGAGACAATGCATTCTGTGACAGTGTGAGTGACAGTGATAGGATGACGGATGACAGAGATGACAGTGAGAGGGAGATAACCATTATTTGCAACATAGCACAATGAAGTCATCTCTAAAGGCACCCAAAATAATTAAGGGCTCAATAAAAATAAAAACCACCTGTGAAGAAGCAAACTTATACCAACTATTTTATGCTCACCATCCTTTAAGACAATGATAGAAGGAAAATCCACTTGCGATCACTATTGAGATTAGTCCTATCCATCTTGGAGGCAATTTATTTGAAAAACAGTAATTAAATGCATGACATAACAAATGATTTTATTGTAATTATTATGGCATTTTAGAGGCATAAGACTCTTTTGATGTATCTTACTTAGTTCCGATCACTTGGACAGGAACCATAAACACATATGCACACACAAATCTAGAAAGGATTGCAATATGGGTACCGTGCTCTCCTCCTTCCCTTGGATCAGCCTTCAATTGAAGTCCCAACCCAATTAAATTTATTTTTTAATGTTTACATACAATCCTCACTGTTTAAGACTGTCTTTCTGTAGTACCCAGTGCTAGGTGGAAATGGCTCTGTGTGCTTGGTTCTGGCTGAGTTGGAGAAACTCCTGATAGTCATTTCTAACACCACTGCCTCCTACGATTGCTACCTAAAGTGAGGGTCCAGCCTCTAGCACCCACACCTGGAGCTCCATGATATTAGTCTAAGTGTTCTAGTCTTCGTAACTCTCAACAAGGCTTTTCGTTCTTTTTGTTACCCTTCAAAATGGTAAAAGAGTTTGCCCTGTTGTCCATTCTCAAAATGTCCCAGTTGGAGGTCGGATCATCTACTCATTTTCCCCACATGGTACATCCCTACTCTGAATCGGCAGGGTGGGAGGCCACGGGAGAACCCTGGAGTTATATGTTCTAACTTCCCCACTGAAGAGACATTGCCTTTGCTTGCTTCTAAGGACATGGTTGAGAAAAGCAGGCAAAGTCCTGGATTCCCAGACTATATTCTAGTACAGTGAAGGTAGTCCCCTATAACATCTAGCAGGCATAAGTTAAATGTGAATAGCTAGCGTGTATTGAATGTGTACTGTTTGTCAGGCATTGTACTAGTCCCTTTATGTCTTACAGGTCCAAAGGCCACCAAGTTTGTTGATTCACTAAAAGGACTCACAAGACTCAATAGCAGGTTATACTCGGGGCTAAAGTTTATTAGAGCAAAAATATACAGACCAAGAGCAACAGGAAAAAGATATGTATCAGGAGGAAACCAGATAGGTCAGGCACACACTTTCGAGTACTTCTCCACCTAGGGCCACCCAGGACATGATTTCTTTCTAGCAACAAACTAGAGGGGCATGTGCAGAATGTCTCTACCCACAGAAGCCTGTTCAAGTCTCTGGGTCTGAGGCTTTTATTGAGAACTTGTCACATAGCTCTATCATGCTACACGACCAGCCATGGCACCTGAAACTCGGGATGTGAACAATGAAAACAGATATACATCATCAATGTTGATGTTTGTGCAAAGCAATCCTGACAAGCTGATATGGCATGGTCCATCGCTCCAGGTGTACAAAACATAACCACCAACTATTTTCATAGGAACATTCTGAGGGCCACATTCCCAGGGGTGGGCCAATGGCCAATCACGGTTCCAAGTTCCCTTGAAGACACACAAGGACTAAACAATCAGACCTGCTGTGTTAACCCTTTCCTCACACTTCACATAATCTATTTAATCCCCAACAGTCCCTCATTATACGGAGGGTTATATGAGTTAACTGAGGCTCTGTAACATACAGTAAGATCACACTAGTAATTGATTGAATCGAGATATGAATCCATGATTGGCTTATGCTCAACTTTCATTATCCTGTACTGCCTTCTTTCTACCAGCTTCTAAAGCGCTTGTTTATTCACAGACCATTCAATCCATTGATATGAACAAAATCCCTACTTAACTTTTAATCAGTCTGTGCCATTCTCCCAACCTACCAGGGGCATATAAAGATATCAGATGTTCATTCAGATCTGACTCCTTCAGGGCCTCTGCCTCTATTGGTGGTCCCCTAGTGGGGTCTGTATCCATAAGGTCATCATAAAATTCACAGATGGCCCCAAGTAGCTGCTTAAGTATAAAACTTTTAAAAGATGTTATATGCATTTAAAAAGCATTGTGGGAGCTACAGACTTGATTTCTTATTGGTATTACCCTTATTTAAAAGACAAACTGTAAAGGGAATTATTCTGGGTTAGAAAAGCCTGGTCTTTTTAAAATTAACAAATAGAAGCAAAAGTCCTAATCAAATTTTTAAAGATTTTTTTTTATTTTTCCTTTTTCTCCCAAAGCCCCCCTGTACATAGTTGTGCACCTTCAGTTGTGGGTCCTTCTAGTTGTGGCATATGGGATGCCACCTCAGTATGGCCTGATGAGCGGTGCCATGTCTGTGCCCAGGATTCAAGCCGGCGAAACCCTGGGCTGCCGAAGCAGAGCGCGGGAACTTAATCACTCGACCATGGGGCTGGCCCCCCAATCAAATTTTTAAACTGTTTACCATGAAAAAACTACGAACATATACAAAGGTAGAGCAAGTAGTGCAATGAACGCTCATAAGAGCCTTGCTCAGATTCAACAATTATCACTACATGGGCAATCTTGTTTCATTTATACTCTTATCCATTCCCCTTCCCATTTATATCTCTAAAAGATAATGACTTTTAAAAATACATAAACACAATACCATTATTTTACATAAAAGTTAACAATAATTCCTTAATAGCAATTATCCAGTCAGTATTCAAATTTCCCCATCCATCTCCTAATTGTTTTTACAGTCGCTTTATTCAGATGATGTTGATCAGCATTTGACAGCATCTAAGACTAATTTTTTTAAACCAAAGTTACAGTTTAATTGGCTAATCTGGCTTCATACTGTAGGATGATTTTGGAGTTAATCTGAGCTGTCAGTAGCCTAGAAAATAGCAAAAGTTGAAATTGTATGGTTTTCAGTTTAAATTCAACCCATGTCTTGGTAGGCAAAGACAAATAATCTAGGCTCTATTTTCTTTCCCATTTTGAAGCCAGAGACTTGTAATTACTTGTAATTACACAGTGCATAATCCCTAAGAATTAGAAGCAGCAAAGGAAGGGAAATAGAAGCAGGAAAAAAGCTCTGTGGGAGGCGCCAGCCCTGTGGCCAAGTGGTTAAGTTGGCGCACTTGGCTTCAGCGGCCCGGGGTTTCGCCAGTTCAGATCCTGGGCACGGACATAGCACCCCTCGTCAGGCCATGCTGAGCCGGGGTCCCACATAGCACAACCAGAGGCACTCACGACTAGAATATACAACTATGTACTGGGGGGCTTTGGGAAGAAAGAAAAAGAAGATGATTAGCAACAGTTGTTATCTCAGGTACCAATCTTAAAAAAAAAAAAAGCTCTGTGGGAGCTTCAGCCAAATATCTTCTTAATTGTAGCCCATATACAACCCTCAATTATTCCTGTGCTGCTGCACCCTAAGAAAACAAGGGTTAAGCATGATTAATTAGTTTTGCAATTATTTATATAATACACAGAAAGCCATCTTTGAAACAAGCAAGGGCTAATTATAGCTTACATCTAAGAACTTTCAGATAGTTCTACTTGTTTAGAATTATCCCCTTATATGCCTGAATCAAAACAACACATTGTAAAGACTGTTGAAGGAGATGAAGAAATAAATTGCCATAAATCTGTCATATGTAAGTATTTTACTTTACAAAATAAAACACAGGAACAATATAGCCATTTTTCTCTGAATAGTAGAAATTTGCTGACAATAAAAAATTCATATATACTCTATCATCAATCTCTTCCCTTAGTCACCTATTTTCCAAGCAAAATGGGTTATTTTTTTTTAACGATTGGCCCTGAGCTAAAACCTGTTGCCAATCATCTTTTTTTTTCTTCTCCCCAAAGCACCCCGGTACCTAGTCATATATTCTAGTTGTAGGTCCTTCTGGCTCTGCTGCGTGGGATGCCGCCTCAGCATGGCTTGATGAACAGTGCTAGGTCCACACCCAGGATCCGAACCAGTGAACCCTGGGCCACTGAAGCAGAGTGCGTGAACTTAACCACTCGGCCACGGGGCTGGCCCCTGGGCTATTTTTTAATATTGTACTGAAATGACCAAAAGGCAGGTAACTGCAAAGAAGAAAAGAAGAAACAAAGGCCTATGGTAACCAATGGCTGGAATAATTAGTCCTGGAAATATGGAAAGTGGATTGTATCTATCATATATAAACTTTCTCTGCTATTTTGCAAAATAAGAAAATCAATGTCAAATTGCATGGCTAAAAATTAGAACACAAGAATGTGACTGAGCTTCATACCTTTAATTTCCACACATTGATCTAAATAAATATAAAGACATTGACAGCAACATTAAATAAAATTCTAAAGTACCTACAGCACTAATGGCAGATATTACAGACTATCAGCAATAGAGGCAATCAATTTCTGAAAGTGATATTTTTTCAAAAAGGGAATATATCACTGTTGTGTAAACAAGTCTCTTTTATAAACCTTAGTTTCACTGAAAGAATAGCAATAAAGAGTGGAATTGTCAAAAATAAAGCTTTCTATGCTGATCTCTTGAGGTTACTATAGGAAACAATAAGAACACATTACATAGTCACTTAAAAAATTAAAGTGATGGGGGGTAAGCTATTTCAGGACCCATACGCCAGTGGATCTCAGCAAACCAGTCCAGATTACCGTATTCTTTCAAGCCACTTTTCTTTTTTCATTACTGTCACCATGCACTAAACTATAAAAGTCTAAAATAGAGATTTATGGTACTCTAGAGCTTTAACCCACTTTTATGTTATAGACAGCCTCCCACAGAACACCTCCCCTATTCATTAACTAGGTGCTGGATGCTGGACTGGAGGGAGAAAAATACGTTTTGTGCGACCATGACATCCCATTAGTCCTATACATGTGCCAGATTTTGTTGTTTAGTTTCCTTTTCTAAAGCTCACGTTTTGTTTTACACCTCTGTTGTACCACAGGTAATAAGGATCAAGTAGTATGCAAGCACATAAGGCCTCAGAAGGTCTGCCACACAAACATCCACACTGAAACACTTTTGTAAGAAGTACTCAAATAAGAGGAGAAACAAATCCAGGAGATGCTACAAGGGATATGTGGTTTAAGAATGATGGAATAGCTTGGTATTATGGCTCAAACTGTGTGCCCTCTCACACAAATTCATATGTTGAAGTCCTAACATCCAGGACCTCAGAATACGACTTTATTTGGAAATAAGGTCATTGCAGATATAATTAGTTAAGATGTAGTCATACCATAGTAGAGTGGGCTCCTAATCCAATATTACCGGTGTTGTTATAAAAAGGGGAAAGTTGGACCCAGACAAGCAAATAAAGAGAACGGCATGTGAAGACTGGCATTATGCTGCCACAAGCAAAGGAACCACCTGAAACTAAGGAGGGAGGCCTGGCAAAGATCCTTCCCTAATGCTTTCAGGGAGGGTCATGGCCCTATCAACACCTTGATCTCAGACTTCTAGCCTTCAGAACTGTGAAATAATAAATGTCCGCTGTTCCAGCTCTGTTGTGGCAGTCCTAGGAAACTAATATACTAGGTGAAGTTGGCTATTGCCTTAAAAACAGCTAAGATCAAATAATAAAAAAATAAGAGGGAGTGCTAGGGAGGAAGTGTCCTTTCACACTCCATCCCTTTCACTGACTCTTCCTCACAGGAGATTAAGATTGTACAGAGTTTACTGTGTATTAGGTCACACGTCACTAGTGGGTAAGGTCACTGCCTTGAAGGGTGACTCGTGTTTGGCATGCTCTCTGGACAACCTGTGACTGGGTATGTGAGGCAGCCCTGTGGTCCTCATTCACTTTGCCAGTTGCGTAAGTGACTGGAGTCTGTTTTAAAACTCTAGTCATCTGTCTGTCTTTCTCTCTCTCTTTCTCTCTCATCTCTCTCTCTCCACACATGAATATGCAGACTGGTCCCAAGATTACAATTTGAGTGGAAAGTTGGAGGCCCCCTTCTTAATTAGGAAGTCTAAGCTGCATTCACAATCTCTTTCTTAACAGCACTCTGTGTTTGGTTATTGGTTCGTGGCCAGCTATTAATGAATAAATCAGTCCTTTGTAATCAGTATTTTCTTTTTGATTTGGTTACTGAAGAGAAATGAGTGGCTTGGAAAACCCTAAACAAATCCCACCCAGGAGCTACAAGCCCCAGTCAACACCACTATAACTTCTTTTGGAGAAACTCTTTCAGGAAAGTTACTTTTTGCAAATGTGACATTTGTTATATACTCATGGTGCTCCAAACACCCTACTGAGTAATGTACATAGAATTAACATTAGTTAGACTCTGACCCCAAACAGCTTCTATTCTGTGGAAAACAGTCCACTCGAAAAAAAGTTTCTACTAAAATCAGTCTGGAAGGAAAAATCACGTCTTCAAAAATAGAGCCAATAATAGTAAAACATGCAATATTCTAAACTTGGACTATCGCTGTGGCCACACTGAATCTCTGCTAGTCAGAGATATTTTAGTTTAGGATTTTTACGCACACTCTAAGGGTAACAGCTATTGACTACTAGAAAAAATTTCACTGTACCAGCTTAAAGGGTAGTCCAAGAGAGGACTCAGGGATAGGGTTGCCAGATTTAGCAAATAAAAATACAGAATGCCCAGTTAAGTTTGAATTTAACATAAACAATGAATAATTTTTTTTCATATGCATATGTCAAAGAATAGTCATAGTTTACCTGAAATTTAAATTTAATTGGGCCTCCTGTATTTTACCTGGCAACCCTACTCAGGAAGGACAAATAAGAGAATACATGTGAACACATATAATGTGATTCTACTTCCCTAACCCCAGTTGAAGCAAAAGCAAACAAGTCACCTCCCAGAAGCCCATAAATTAGTTGGCCATCAGATTTGGTTCCTTGAGAATTTTCAATAAGAGACACAGAGAATCTAGTAAGAGAACTATGTGGATGCTTGAATTAAATAACATACAGAGTTGGGCTGGGAAGGCATATTAGGTAGAAAGAATATGACAGTTAAAAGAAAGAGGAGACGGAGAGAAGCATAGAAGAGAGACACTACATGGTCATTGAGAGAAAGAGCAAGCGACCTCAGTTTTGCTCGCCAATTCTAATTTCAATCACTCTGTAGCATGGCTGTACTTCATAGCCCAGACATCTGTAATATTGTCTGTTGTATTCTTATAACAAATTTCCCTTTCTTAAGGTACTTGAATGAGTTTCTGCTCCTTGCCACCACTGATCCTTGAC